TGGGTCTAGGTCCGACAGATTCCTCTGTGCAGGATTTCTCTATGCAGACCCTCTGCAGGACTGACCCTACCCATTCATTTGGATATGGGACAGAGGGAAGCAGTGGCCAATCAGAGAGCTCTCCCGCTAGCACAGGAGGGCATAGGTAGAACCTGAATCCATAAAGGGAGGTTGGAATGTTAATGAAGCAGATGATACAGTTAAGCAGGTGTTGTCAGTTCACTTGAAAGTCGCTTTTTCTGTCCTTCAGCCATGACAGGAATGGTCAAGATTTTACAATTCTGTTTCCTTGTAAATTTCCGCTTCTTCATTGTATCTCAAAAGCTCAGTGAATGACAATCTCATTGGTGTCTTTTTTGAGGTATGAGGAAAATGAGCATCACTCATATTTGAGGAGTAAGAGATTGGTGGAGAGATAAATTGTTCATGACTTGCTTTTGTTTTTAATTTCCAGATGATAAACCTAACGCTAAAATTCACTACCTAGTACTGGCTGAAAAATTTGTCTCAGCATTCAAATATAAAATATTTTTCTTGGTCATTTTTTTTCCTTAAGGTTACACAGTTATGCTTGACTTAAATATTGAAATTAAAATTTTCTCCTTCTACGAATATTGAAACTTCATATTATCCATAAGCTGAGTTGCACAGTAATTATTATAAAGAGAAATATAAATCTTCCCAGGCCAGTATTTTATTTAATTTGATTACTTGTGGGTTTGTGACCATTATTATTTGTTGTTAGTTTATTGCTGTTGTGTTTTTTTTTATTTTTTTTGAAGAGCATTTATTTTATTTTTTAAATTTTATTATGTTATGTTAATCACCATACATTACATCATTAGTTTTTGATGTAGTGTTCCATGATTCATTGTTTGCATATAACACCCAGTGCTCCATGCAGAACGTGCCCTCCTCAATACCCATCACCAGGCTAACCCATCCTCCCACCCCCCTCCCCTCTAGAACCCTCAGTTTGTTTTTCAGAGTCCATCGTCTCTCATGGTTCGTCTCCCCCTCCGATTTCCCCCCTTCATTCTTCCCCTCCTGCTATCTTCTTTTTTTTTTTAACATATATTGAATTATTTGTTTCGGAGGTACAGATCTGTGATTCAACAGTCTTGCACAATTCACAGCACTCACCATAGCACATACTCTCCCCAATGTCTATCACCCAGCCACCCCATCCCTCCCACCCCCCACCACTCCGGCAACCCTCAGTTTGTTTCCTGAGATTAAGAATTCCTCATATCAGTGAGAACGTATGATACGTGTCTTTCTCTAATTGAGTGGGTTTTTTTTTAAAGATTTATTTATTTGAGAGAGAGAAGACAGCACAAGTGGGAGGGGCAGAGGGAGCGGGAGAGAGTATCTCAAGCAGACTCCACGCTGAGCACAGAGCCTGACATGGGACTCAGTCCCACAACCCTGAGATCATGACCTGAGCTGAAACCAAGAGTCAGACGTTTAACCGACTGAGCCAGCCAGGTGCCCCTGCTGCCATTTTTAATATTTTACTTGGACTTAGGAACCACGTGTTGCTTCAGAAATTCTCCAAAAGACAGTACTTCCACCAGTAAGTGGAAAGAATTACTTATTAGTGTTCAAAATATCTCAAAAATGCAAATAAAGAAGTCTGAATTTTTAAATTTGGATTCCTGACAAGTGAATATGAAAAAGAACACTCTTGGTAGTTTATGAGTTGATTGTATGTGAAGAAGGCCTCCTTTCCCCCATCAGAACTACAGCATTTTTGAGTAGTCGATGTCTTGGTGTATAAAATGAAAATACACGGCCACCGTCACCACCATCATCATACAAGTGGGACTTGTGCCCACCGTGGATTTCATGAGGCATAACCGAAGTGAGTCAGCACTTGACGGGAGAAACCAATCCATTCTAACATTGAACGGTCGTGCACAACTTTGCAAATACGTTATCTGTGCTGTTCAATAATACCAGAGTTTAGTTCCCCTTATTTTGACTTGATTCCATTTTCATCGGTTAAAGTTTTTCATTTCATTAATAGTGAATTCAAAAATTTACTCTCTTCTTCACATTCACAAGTGATGGAATATTTTAATGAGAAGCGAAGGCTACCTTTGTGTTCTTCCTTGCAGTAGTGCCCATAGTCTCTGCCTCTAACTTCACATATGCAGATTCCTGGTTTGATATGTGATTCAACATGCCCCTACTGAGGGCCTGTCTGTGAAGGGAATAGAATGCACTGGTAGGAGTATGTGTTTTGGAGTCAGACTGTTCTTGGCTCAAATCCTGGCACAGTGATTTGCTTACTGTGTGGTCTTCAGCTTCCTTGTCATGTAAATACCTGACCCACAGAGCTGTTCAGGAGCTAAGAGAGAGGACGGACGTGCATGTGTATGGCTTTCTGTGGCTTCCATTGGCATCTCCTCCCTCCTCCTTCCCACTTGGGGCCCGCTGTTGTAATTCCTGTCCACGGTGTGGATGGGGAAACAGAGCATAAGTGCTTGACAGAACCCTTGCCTTTAGGGAACTAAGCGTATTGTACTGTGACATCTTAAGCTAGTACCTTCACCGCGGACGCATTGGTTAACAACTCTGTTAAATTCAGGGGTTGACCTTTACTTTATGATTATTTCTAAGAGCACTTCCAGACCTGACCTTGTGTGAGCCCGTGATATTATGAAGCTATAGGTTAAAGAATAAGAAACTAACAGTAGGGTATTAAATGGGCAGTATCGACCACAATAATATATCATGAAGGAAGAATCAATCAGACTTAATGACAGATTAGAAAAGATTAGCCATGAATCAGAAATTACTCTAAGGAAGCATTCCCCAACATGTCCTCTGCAAAACACTAGTTCCTCAGGACAGTAATTGGTATTAACTGAGAAAAAGTTTCTGAAAATCATTTGGGGCATGCTGACCTAGACAGGTTCCTTTTCTGCAGGACTTCTCAGAAGCTTTCATATGTGCATGTGCATTATGATTCTGAAATGGGGGAATGTAAATAATTGTAGAAGCCTTTCGAAAACGTACTCATCATGGAATCAGAATTATTTTGCACCCAAGTAACATCTCGTCAGACTAGGATTTTATGGGATGTATATTGCAAAAAGCTGCTTTATGGGTTTAAACCAGGAATGGTGTAGAATATGGATACTTTTGACTTCACCCACTGAATGTGCTGAGCGTTGACCACTTACAAGTTCCCATGGAAGTTCTCATCCAAGAGATGAATGAGATCCAGTCTTTGCAACAAGTCTGGTGACAAGGCTTCAAGTATGGTGTTGTCTACAAGGCTAAGAGTAGGGATACCCTGGCAAGACAAACACCCCAGCAGATTACTGACACAGAATCAACTGAGGCAATATCCTGAGGGCAAAGGGTCTTGGCTTCTGCCTTGAATGTATTTCTTTCTCTCTCTCAAGCTCTTATAATGGTATTTGCATCCTGTTAACCTCAGAGAAATTCTGAAGATAAAATGAATGTATGGTGCCCAACCTCAGGTGGTTGGAGTGAAACCAGTCGGAAGTTTCATTCAGGAGGGGATTTAACCAAATTTAGTCTGAGCTTTGCTTTTGAGTAAAAGCGTAGTGTTTTGACCACCATTTCGACACTTGGCTCCAAAGTCAAAATATAATCTAAGAAGAGAAACCTGAAAAAACAAACTACACACGTAGGCAACCTGCTTCTTTATGAGGGACGTGGAATTGAGATGTTGGCTGGACCCTTATGGCATAATCTCTATTTTCGTTTCTCATGGGTGAGACATGAGCTGGAGACCTTGTGGCAGATTTTACTGGATGAACCTTTTCTTCTCACCAGTCAGGTCTGTGGACTAGTTCACCACTGGATTTTTCTGCCTATGAGGCCTTAGGAAACATTTTGGCAGGTTGCACCGTTATTTTGCTCATGTTGTGAGTAGCATTTCTCTGACCTTTTGTTATTTACTGAAACAGCCTGGCCTGTTTTCTTTTAAGAGAAGCGTGAAATGAAGGGGAGTCAGTCAGCACAGGCTGACTTTGGTATTAAAAGACTAACTTCAGGCTGCTCAGCTCCAAGTATACTTTTAAAGTTAGGGGGTTGTTGGCCTCCTTGCTTCTTATTCCCATGCTTTTAAGGGTCTTTTGGGGAAGGTTCTTTTTTTCCTCACTAAAGCACATCATTTACTTAAAACATTTCACCACACCTAAAAACATAACCCACTAAAAGTTTTCTTCTGACATCTTGAGCATGGTGGGTTGTCCAAAGCCTTTCCTGTTTTGAACAGTGATGTGACTTTGTTCCAGGGAAGACCGCTCCAGACTGATGATTTGATGACCGGGCAGCCCTCACTCCTGAGCTCTCACGACCCTTATGAGCCCACACAGTGGAGCTGGTGACACCATGCGGGACGCTCTCGGTGTCTCACCGGGGCTCCTTCTGTGTTCTTTCTGCCTACCTGTGCCACCTAATCCCACCATACCTGTCTCCCTGGTGCTTTTCTGTCCACTGCCAGGGGACTCCCCATTCATTACAGGCTGACTTACAAGGGTAAAGGAAGCATCAAGATCCCATTACATCTTTGGAAATGAGAAAGTGCATGTGGGCATGTCTCTGTGTGTGTGTGTGTGTGTGTGTGTGTATTCAGATAGACGCTTATTCCTGTCTCCCCATCTATCTCCTCACCCACTACTGGTCTCTTTCCGCCTGAAACAGAAAATTCAACAGAAATCACGTCTTTCCATTGGGATTCCCATAGCTCTTGAACTCCGCTGCTAGCACTAAAAACCACCACTCAGATTTTTGTCATGTTTCCTCTCTTAGCCAAATGTAAAATGACCTTGGCATACGCAAAACAGCCTGAATGATTGTTAATGAAGGCTCTGTGTCATTTAATAATGATCTGTTTGAGAATTTCCATGGTCTAATGGCCATTGTTTTAGAGATGTGTTACTCATTTTCTCATTCAGTCAGTAAATAGTTACCTCACTGTCCTCAGTGTTAGGGATATGCTGGTGAACAGAGGGGACAAGCTGCTCCTGGAGCTCATATGTGAATGCAGAGATAGAGCTGATAAATGAGTAAAGCCAAAGGTAAGGTGATGGTAGACAACCAAAAGGATAATGCCAGGTAGCTAGGGCAGGGGGAAGACACGTTTGGAATAGAGTGTCACAGGGGATCTTGCTTTGGCTCCAGGCTTGTAAGATGAGGCAGAGCCACGAGAAAGTCCTGGGAGAAGCTTGTGGAGACAGAAGAAAAGAGCCAGGTCTTGGCCTGACTTAGACTCTTCTCTCCTCCCTGTTCCTTAGCCAATGGCCTCATCTCTGTGTTTGCCTCTTGGTGCTAGGACCTGATTACTCTTTAAACCTCTGTGTCATTAGAAATACCCATGAAACAGCTGAAAGCTACTGTCTGCTCAGAACGCTGGTGGTGATACCTGATGCTGGCGAGTGGGTGTGAGCCATTCAGAACCCGTTGTCCCTCCGCAGCCCCTCTCCACAGCCCTCCTATTCAGAGAGCACGATGTACAGATGAGAAGATAGGTTGACTTCATTTCTTGGAGAAAGGTCATAGGAAATACTTTAAAGTACAGTGAGTAGAAAAAAGCAGCAGCCTAGACCTTCAAATACAATTAGGTTAAGATGGGCGAGCTACTGCCGGACAAGTGCTAACTTGGTCATGCCACTTTTGAAACTTTTTGTTTTGCAATAAATATAGACTCACAGGAAGTTGCAAAAATAGCACAGAGAGGTCCCAGGTACTCGTCATCTGGCTTCCCCCAATGGTAGCATCTTGCCTAACTTGAGCTTCGGGTATAATGTAGGTAGAGGATACACCCTACCAACACCAGGAAATTGACACGAGTGAAATCTCCAGAATCTTCTTCAGATTTCACCAGGTTTCACATGCGCTCATTGGTGTGTGGGCCTGTATGTGCACTTCACCCCATGTCTAGGTTCCTGTAACCACCCCTCCCATCAGAATACAGAACTATTCCATCACCACCAAGAAACCCCCTTGTTTCGTGGCACTTTTGTATATGAGGAATAGCCTCAGACGTTATCCTGCATCTCCGGTGGATCATATTCTGGATGAATCTGTAGCGAGCTTGGATAAGTCTCTGCAATCTATTGCTTGGCTTGCCTGCCGTGGAATTTGTAATTGACTTACAGATGGAGATCCTTGGTCTGACTTGTACGAAGAGCATCTGCAAGCCCAGAACAAAACAAAAAATAAAACCACCGGTTTGAATAAGTAACTCTTGACTTCCATCCTGGGAGCCCATCAGTGACACCCAGTTGATTTAAGAGGCTAATACCCATCATGTGACCTCAGTTGTTTACTTCTAAGAAGAACAAGACCCTTTCTGATGCCACACACCTCTGGGGACATAAGCCCTGTACAGGGGCTTTTCCTACAGTATTTCTTGAAGATGGCTGAGGAACACCCCGGAAATGGGTTATCAGGGGTTACCTGGCAAGTGGGGTGCATTCCTCCTTCTAGAAGAGAGAACAAATTACCGAAAAATGCCCGTTCGTGTGTGGTGGGCAGAAGCCTTTAGGATGTGCATTTAGTGAGGACTGGAGGTGCAGGCTGACAGGGAGGCAGCTATAAACAGATTGAGGGAGAGACAACGGACTTAAGGGAAAACATCCGCCTACTGCCTCTGACCTCCAAAAGCTGCATCTGTGGCCTAGCATCAGGCTTGTAATGCTTAAAAAAGGAATGCGAAGGGGCCCAGCGTGGGCTCTGAGAGTTTCTTTTTTTCCTCGAGATTTTCTGTTTGCTTTGCCCAGAATGCTGTCAGGGGCTGATGGAGGAAACTCATATGGGCCTGTTTCCTGAAGCCGAAGTAGCATTCCTTAGCAGCTAACTTTTGAATGAGTGATTTAAAAGACATTTTTACCTGTATTGTTCTAGGCACACTAATCAGAGGAACCCACTTACTTGGCTTAAATGAACCCCCTGGAAATCTCGAGATGGACTCTTCAAAGATCTCGCATTTCAAGGAGAAGTTTTTGGTATTAAAGAAGCTGGAAACCAGAAGAAGGAAGCAGATCATGTTCTCATGGAGCCTCAGAGGAGATTAAGAGCATCTCTCTCTCAATGCTAGGTTGAACTTCACATTTGTCAAACACGTCCTGTGATGTATGCATTATTTTTTTCTCTTCGGTCATTAGTTTGTGTCCTGTGGGCACAGCCCAAGCGGTTGATTCAAAGGAAATAAAGATCAGGTGTTCTGCAACCTTATGGCAGGTTCTCAGGGTGGAAGCAAGAGAGGATCATGAGTAATGAGTTCTGCTCTTCACTCCTGGGCCTTGTCTCTGCTGCTCATACAACCTTCCCAGCTGGTGGCTGGTTCATTTACACTTCATGGTCAGTGACTTTTCCCATGGGGAATGTCACCTGGACCATTGTAACTGAGATGGAGGAAGTTGTCCTAAGTATTGTAAACAGCCTCGTTGGACATGTCACAGTCCCCCCCAGCTTTATACTTCTCTCTTGGTGTCTACTCCACATGATCCCCCTCTGAACTCCTGTCTGGATTCTCATACATCTAATCCCCAACCAAGATGGCAAGAAGACTCCTGTATCCCAGGGCCACACGGGATATAAGCAGTGTGAAATTTTATGAAATATGAAAGAAGTCCGTGTAAATAATATCCCTTCAGGTACATGACGCTCTTGCCTGGAGCTCTGTTCCACATAACGGTGAGAATGGCCTCCATGTTTTGTCGCAGGGAGGAGGAGGGTATGTTGCCGTGAGGAGTGACCGAGAAGGCAAGACTAGAAGGGTAGGAAATTGAATAAACGGAGGAGAGGAACTGGGGATGGTTGTGTGCTAGTATTGCGGAAAAAGCAGTAAAGGACGGTCACTTGCTCTTTGTGCTCAGAATCTATGGCATATTCGTTTTCTGCTCTACCATGAGCATGTGAAATTTTAACATTCGGTGAAATAAATTAGGCCATACACTGTATGTCCTCTGTTTTACACATTTCTCCTTAATTATATATTATATATATATAATATTATATATTAGCCCTGTGTTTAAAAAGGACAAGCTACATTAAAGTCAGATAATTTGCCTCAAGTCACATAGGTTGAATTGGTAGATTTGAACTCAGGTCTTTTGAGCCCCCAAGCGTACCTTCTATTTGCAGTCAGTGTTTCCTATTCTATTTGCGAATCAGTGGTTTCTCATTTTCTTAAGGCGCAGAATCCTTCTGATTTTTTGAACCTGGTGCAGGTGCTGAGGAGAGGCTTGGAAAGGCTCAAACTTCATTTTTTTTTTTCTTTCTTACAAGAAATCTCTAGAACTGTTTCATGATACCCTGGGGATGATGGACACAGTTTCAAGATCCACACCTTAGAGTAGTTCATCTCAAAAAATGTCTGTGGGTACTCGTTTGTAGGTTGTTTGAGGTGTATTTTCTCATACCTTGAAAACAACTGGTTGAATTTTTCCAAACCAAGCAGTCGACCTTCTGCCTTTGTATCCTTTGAGTTCCCACCACAGTTCAGATCCAGCGCCTTTTTAAAGAATTGTATTTTACACAAAGGTAGCCGGACAGTGAGGGAAAGAATAAGGGTGGGTGGGGCACTCTCAAACCAGGTCAGGGTGATCAGCCTGGGACATCTTGTTTTCATCATATTCTCGTAGCTACCCTTTACTTCTCTGTGTGTTTGCTGGGCTTTTGAAATTCTATTGTGCTCTTTGTAGCTGGGTGTTTTCCAGAGGGTCATCAAGAGAAAGGAGGATATATCTTCTGCATTAATAACCTTTGGCAGGAAAATTAGATCAAATGATCTGGTAGAGAGCGGGAACGAGGGGGGTGCATTTATTCCCCCTTTCCAGGAAAGTGTCAAGTTCACCATGCCCCAGCACCAGACTCTTCACCCAGTAACTCTGAGATCTTAATATCAAGTTTACTCAATAATGATGAGGTCAGTGGCAAAACTACTACCCCATTTTTGAGGGATAAGAATTGTTCCTTTTAAAGGCATTTAATAAACAAAATAAGGGACCATGAAATATACTTGGAGTAGCAGCTAATTTCTGTATGTACGTTCCTGTTTTTTTTTTTTTTTAAGTGGATTCATTAATGTGGAGCTCCAAAACAACTCTTAAATATTTACATTTTCTGCACTTTAATTACTGATAATCACAGGGAACATATGAAAATTTAAAGAATATACTAAGGTTTATGGCAGAGATAAACACCATAGATCAGGGGTCCAAAAACCATGCCCTGTGGACCAAATCTGGCTTGCCACTTATTTTTGTAAATAAAGTGTTATTGGAACAGAGCCATGCCTATTTGTTTATGGATTGTCTGTGGCTGTTTTCCTATAATAGCAGCAGAGTTGAATAGTTAGGATAGAAACCATATATCTTAAAATATTTGCTATCTGGCCCTTTACTGAAAAAGTTTTCCAACCCCTGCCATAGACATCTCCATGATATTTATTTACTCATTGGTTCTGTGAACACTAATTATGTTATAGACACTCTGGGGAAATACAAAGGTGAATAAAACAGTCCCTAATGTCCATGAACTTAAAATGTAACAGAGACATATACTCTGAGAGTCACCTGACGAGGTGGACTGCAACACCTACTACGGACGAGAAATAATTAAATTGCTGTGTGGTTCAAAGACGGTGAAGGCCCCCGACAAAGGGAAGGAATTGGGACCAGCAAGAGGATATCGCTTTCATAACCATGGCTCACAGCGACTTCCCAGTGGGAACTTCATGAGAAGTAAGAGTCATTTCCTTCATGGAATTTTATAAATTGTAGTATCCAAAAGGTGGAAGTGATTTAGGATATTACTTCGCGTCCAAATTTCTTTATCTGGAAGCATATATTTCCTCTGTAGTTACAGGGAAATCATATTTCTAGAAAATGTTTAAAGATTTGAAGGAAGGCTTCCTTCTTTAGGGTGGGAAGACAGAAGAAATTCTTTTTCCTTTTTTACTAACTGTTCACTGACCAAAGGAGCATGAAATGGTATGGGCCTTAAAGAAGGGGTCTTGACAGGAGACCTCTCAAATGTCAGATGGATTAAAAACAAGGTAAAATTACAGAACCCAACCATGAATACGCATGACTCAGTGTCAGTTCTCTCTCTGTCCTCTCCACAATGCCACAATGTACAAGTGGACATGGAGCTTTTGGTAAAACTTGAGGTCAAATGCCACCACGCCCTGGGAAGACTGCATGCAGGAAGTTTCCTGAGCCCTCCCAGGATTAATGTCTGCCTCTTCGTTTCTGGCCTGTTTGAGGGCAGGGTTCATGCCTTTTGGATTTTTTGATCGCCACTAGCGCCTACCCCATTATTTGTGTTTGCCAAATATCTATTGGTTTAACATGAATTGAACGCAGACCCACACTGTGCATTCAAAAGCGAAGTGGCAGATTTTGGTAAAGGACCCAAGAATTTCAGGTTAGTCTACAAATGAAACAAGTGAGACTCTTTCCATTCTGCTTCCATCAGAGGAGCAGAATTGTTGGTGAAATTTTGGCCACACATTCTCTATACTTACAACGATAAAGATGCCAGAGAGAATGCAGCTTGGTTGTGGTTGTGACATTTTCCCCACTGAAAGCATAGTATTTTGACTGATAGACCCTGTTTGGTGCGAAAGCGACTCAAAGAAAAATAATATTGGACCCCTAATAGGTCATTTTAATCTTAGGAAGCACCACGCCCGAATATTTCTTACTGCCTCCCTCTAAGTAGGAGAGCCCCCAGAGCTGGCCACCTGGCCGCAGCGTCCCCTGGGGCCCCGGCCTCCCCTTTCCAAGAAGCCCAAACCATCCTGTCTCCGAATGGTTCCCACTGCTGGCTTTCACCATTGCCTGGGGGCCAGGAGCCAGGCCTGTGCCCCGGATAGAGACTACAAGAGGGAGACCGTCCGGACGGTCACCTGGCTTGTCCCCTTCCCCTCCGTTAGCCCGGAGGGGGCTGTCCAGCCCTTGTGGACGAGGAACACGCTGTAGGGCATTTTTTGACAAAGACATACAGTCGCTGTGTGCACACTCGAGGGCCGCACTCTATCAAAACCATCTAAATAAACAGAGACGCTGCCGTCTCCCCGAGCCCCACGGTGTATTTATGAATGGGATTGCTTCATCGTCATTTTCTTTTCATGTCGGTAGCTGGGAAGTCAGAAAGCATTACCTCTACAACGGGGGAAAAACATTGCGAATGCCTGTCTCCCCAGCCGGCTGAGGCCGCAACCAGCAAACAGAATTACTTCACCCGCCGTCACGGGCCCCCTCCCTGTGGGATCTTTCCCGAGATTCTGATTTATAACCCTCACTTTTGAAGGCCTAGAAATGCGTAGGTGAGATTAAATTACTGATTATCCTGAAGCCCTGTTTTCACTGCAGCCTTTCTGGACTGCCGCTGATCCCGTCCTGTTGCAAGCATTCGGTGGCATGAATCCACTCGGTTTCTGCCCACATCACTGCATTCCTGGGATGCCTTTACAGGCCTTCACAAGATCATCTGACAGCCGTCTGTGGGGTCAATGAACTTTAGACATAATTAAACATTCGCAGTTGGGAGAATTAATTTTTTTCTCCTCCCTGAAAACCGGAGAGAGCATACACGCTATGTGGCCCTCCATGTACTGAGCAGAAGTTCTGGGGCACGATCGGGCCAGTTTCACATGATTTAATGCTGAACCGAGGAAGAAAGTGATTGCATCCTCTACCGGGCCTCACAGAACGGTCACCACCCACACTGTTTATTCAGACTCGGATCTTGGCCATTTGGGGTTTAAGCCAGAAGAGAGGGGGAAAAAAAATCCAACCCTGGAATGAACACTTTTGAAACTCTGTATTCTTCATGAAATAGGGCCAACGATTCTTTTAAAAATCTATTTAAAATCAATTACTAGGCTCCTGTCTTCATTTACAACGGATTGTTAACAACAGCTAATTTTCTCCGTTTCCATCCAGCTTTGGCGCTGAGGCTGGGATTGGAATCCTAGCTCTGTTTTGCCTGGGTATCTGATGCTACCACCAAACTATGTGTGGGTAATTGGGCAACTCTGACCTTTGACCTGCTTTCCATAAAATAAGAAGGAAAGGTGTGAGGAGGCAAGGAATCACATGAAAACAAGCCTGCGGGCTGGCAGTAAGTGTAAGATCTACAGGAGGCATATATAATAATGAGAAGAGTAGGGCAAGGCAAGAAGGTGGATCGGGTGCCTGGGAGGAGGGCCGATCAGACACCAGGTCCTTCTGTCTCTAGGCAGGATTGCAAAAAATCGTCTCTGATATGTGAGGTTGTATCGGGTTTCTAAAGATCTCTAGAGGAGATTCTGGAACCTCCCTTGGTTACCCACCCTACGGTTTGGCAGTTCCTATAGCCAGGAAATTCTTTCTTATTTCTAACCTAAAATGTGCGTGTAGTGCTGCCTCAGGGGCTGAGTTGTTGGTCGGGACCCTGCCCCCCCCAACCTCCCTGCAGCATGTATGACTGCAGGGATGGAATGGGGCATATTCCCTGCTGCTTAGTTAAAGCTACAGTCATGTGACCCCCCTACCTAACAGTTCCCAGACTCCAAGAGTGAGGACGGCGCTGGGGAGCTGGGCGGAGGAGGAGTGTTTATTGACTTCCAGACACCAAATACTATTACTAGGCATTTGGTGTATGTCACCAGGGGGAAGAACATAGCTGGGACATGTCCCAGGACTGAGCCTCAAAACCATGTGCAAATATTAAATGCAGAAGCTCTTTCAGATTTTAAAAGAAAGGGGAAAACAAATCCTGAAAAACAGGGTAAGTAGATTCTAGAATTCCACTGACCTTGAGATGGCAGTCCACCTTCTCCGTTTGAAAGAAGAGCTGAAAGGCAGAGCATGTAAGGGACCAATCCCAGACTGGATCTCAAGGCTTGCGTCCCGACTGCAGCATCCTGTTGGCCCAGGGTGCTGTGCTCTGAAGGCGAAGTGATCAGAACGGAGGTCACTTCTC